CTGTAATGTGACAGCACTTCCAGATAGCATGATGTTTGGCTCACCGGTGCTGGTCTTTTTTGAAAACAGAGCTGCTTGGGTTTTCTGCGCATTGAACTGTACAAGGTTTTTGTTACCCCAGTCCTCTATTATCTCCAGGTCGTTATTTATCTGCGATATTTGAGTTAGTTAGTCTAAGATGATGGAATTCACGTGCGGAAAGCCCTGTGGGTGGTATGAGTGAGGAGACTACATTACCATCGTCTGCAAAGCAATAAAGTGGATTTACTGTTTTATCTATGAGGTCATTTATGTAAATCAGGAAAAGAGTTGGCGAAAGGATTGCTCCCTGTGGCACACCAGCATTTATTTGGTAAGAGTTGGAGTTCTGGCCATCCAGTGCAACATAAATGGATCTGTCCTTTAGGTAACTTTCAAACCAAGTGCAAAGTTTCGGCGATAATCCCATTGCTTTGAGCTTGTTGAGAAGATTTTCATGCCAAACTTTGTCGAATGCTTTAGATATATCTAAGGCAATTGTTCTTGTTTCACCCCGCAACTCAATCGCTTTTTGCCATAAGTGAGTGACGTATGTAAGTAAATCGCCAGTTGACCTATATTTTCGAAATCCGTATTGCTTATCGTTGATAATTTTGTACTTTTCCAAGTACTTGGTTAGGTGATTGTTCACAACTCTTTCCATTACTTTTGATATCACCGGAAGTAGAGCAATTGGTCTATAGTTTAACGGATCTGTCTTTTTTCCTTTCTTTGGAATGGGTTGTACTGCGGCAGACTTCCATGATGATGGATATACTCCTTGCCTGTAAGACAAATTGAATAATTTTGCGAAAGTTGGGGTGAGTTCGTTGGCGCAATTTTTGAGTACTATTGCGGGAATGCCATCCGGACCCATTGCTTTGTTTGTATCCAGCTTTTTTAGGGATTTTCGTATTTCTCTGTGACAAAAGGGTACCTCTGGCATACTATGGGAAACCCTTTCAATGAACGGTGGAGTTTTTCCGTTTGGCACTGTTAGGTTGGAGTTGGAGGAAAACATTTGGGCAAGCATATTGGCTTTTTCCTCTGATGTTGTGGCTAAGTGATTATTTTTATCTGTAAGTGGTGGTATGGATGACTTGGTGAAGTTAGATCCAACAGCTTTTGCAAGAGACCAAAAAGACCTAGAACTACTTGGACAATTCAGCAACCTGTTTTTTATTCTTTGATTGTATGTTTCTTTAGCGGAGTCAATAGTAATTTTGCAACTATTTCTGGCTTCTATAAATTCTGTGTGGTTTTGAGCGGTTTGTTGTCGTTTCCAAAGGTTATATGCTCTGTGTTTTTTCTGTACAGCCGTTTGACACTGGCTGTTGAACCAAGGTTTAGCATTAGCTCTACGTTTAGTTGTATGTGGGATATATGCGTCCATTCCAGATAAGATTACTTGTGTTATTTCATTACAGCAAATAGTGGGATCAGCTGTTTTAAAGCAAACCTCTTGCCATGGAAAATCCAGGTAATACTGTTTTAGGTCATTCCATTTTGCCGATTTATAGTGCCACATTTTACGAGGAAGTGGTTGTAGGCTTGGTGGGATGAGCATTTCGCACTTTGTTATTATAAGTTTATGATCGGACGAACCAAGTGGAGCATCTACTTGAATTGTGTACGAGTCAGGATTTGTGGTTAGGAACAAGTCTAAAAGCGCTGCAAATTCGCCCCTTTCTGAGATACGGGTAGGTTCATCGACAAGCTGCGTTAGACCACAACTTATGGCAAAAGCTTCTGCTTCTCTGCCTTCGTTATCTGTTTTGTTGTGGTGTTTCAGCCAGGGTATATTGTGGACGTTGAAATCGCCTAAAAGACAATTTCCGCCTGTGGATAGTTTGACTGTATACTATCACAGCTTTCGGATAATGTCGTGAAAAAGTTTTGGTAATCGGTGTTACTTGGCGGTCGGTAGAGGCAGCAGATAAACTTGGTCGATGACTTTGAGGTGAATTTTAGCCATATGATATCAAGGTTCGCTGGTTCTAGCTTCTCCTCTCGATGACATGAAAGGTCATTTTTAATGTACACACAGATCCCAAAATTATGTCGAAATCGGTGGTGTAGGTCATAGCCGGGATAAAGATAGTTCACAATAGGTGTTGCAGAACTGATTTTAGTTTCAGTGAGAACAAGGATGTCAGGTCTTTGTTCTTCAAGATGTTGGTGAACTGAATTCATATTTGTACTTATTCCTCTTATATTGCTAAAATCAATTCTGAGTTGAGTTTTTGATCTTCTCTTTATATCTTTACATGAAGGACCCCCAGGATCACCCGACGCCCGGAGATCCGAGTGGTCGGGTATTTTACCTCCGGAATATTTTGATCCTGGAGGCGCCATCATGCTATCTGTTACTCATTGTTGGAACCGGACTGCCAGCGCAGTAGCGGAACGTGGTGATACCACTTAGCGCTACTCAATTCTGTGGATAAGTGTTTGCGTGCGGAAAAGACACTTTGCGCACGTGTTAGGAACAAAATTTTTCCTACGAGCTAAACGAGCTTCATATCAGGTAGGTAACAACAAAAATTTTAGAAAAAAAACGAGAATTTGTTCAATTATTTTCAATTAACTTGAAGCGAACCTATTAAAAAAATTACATAACAAAAAAACAGAAAATTGAAATTCTCGTCAGAGCTGTTCATCTTAAGGCGTTTAAATTTGATGTGAAAGAAGTTTGTAGATTCTTGCATGTAAATGGAGAACTCTGACGTTAAAGATAATTATATTCAGTGTTTGTATAGATGTTGGCTGATATAGAAACACAGGAGAAATTTGTCATCATGTGTCAAAGTCGACAGGTGCACTTATTGTTGCTTGACAATTATTTTTACTTTTCGGCACTCAGTGCGGATAAGACCCGTATCCGCACCGAGTGCGGAAAAGTGTAACTTTGAGAACGGAAATGCGTGCGGAAAAGTACTACTTTGCGCACGCTCGTAGGAAAAAATTATTACTTCCATGGAATACTAGGACAGGACTTACTAATAAAAACCTAGTTGAGAACAATACAGGGTGAGTTAATAAGCGCGGGGTGGTCCATATCTCCTATACTAACGGAGATCGGAGAAAAAACTAAATACAAAACTTGTAGATAAACATCAGTACTACATTCCTAAATTATTTTCCAGTATACAGGGTGGCCCAAAAACTAATAGAGACACAAAATTGTTTTTTTAAATGACTCGTGTATATTAAGACATTTCTGGATTCTGCGGAAAATTCTAGACATATTTCATGTATAATGTCATATATCTATCTTCAACTGTTTCGGAAATATTGACAGTTGAAAATTGACTTTTTTGCATCTTTCAGACTGTGAAACTTAAACGGTTAATTTTAGAGGAAAACTGATTTTACATTCCTATCTTAGATTTTCATAAGCTATCATTTGACACCAACTTTAAATTTAACCGAAGATTAATGATTTAGGCGGAATTTTCAATCATGGATTGAATTCAAGGGCGGTTCCAAATGATAGTTTATGAAAAACTAAGATAGGAATGTAAAATCCTTTTTCTTATAAAATTAACCGTTCAGGTTTTACGGTCTGTCAAAGATGCAAAAAAGTCAGTTATCAACTGTCAATATTTCCAAAACAGTTGAAGATAGGTATATGACATTATACATGAAATATGTCTAGAATTTTCCGCAGAATCCAGAAATGTGATAATATACAGGGAGAGTCATTTAAAAAAACATAATTTTGTGTCAGTACTAGTTATTGGGCCACTGGGATCTCCGTTAGTATAGGAGATATGGACTACTGCGCGCTTAGTAACTCACCCTGTATATGCCATTGGCTGTGTTCTAATAAATTATTTATAGAGCAATCAATTTTATTTTGAGCAAGTTATTAGGTACATGAGATGATGATGTAAGGCAATAACTGGTTTAATAAGGTCATGTGGTACATCAGAAATCTTCCTAGGTGAAAATCAAAACCAATTTTTTTCTACCCCTACAAAAAGTTGTGGTAAGCTTTCCCACTAATTTTTCCCTCTTGTTGGGAAAGTGAGTTTTCAAAAAAAAAAAAACAACATATGTACAGGGTTATTGGTTACAAATGTCACCCTCCTCTATCTTATTTATTTGACATTTTAGAAAAAAGTGTTCCAAATAAAAGTTTTATGGTTGAAATTAAATTTTTGAAAAACTCACTTTCGTATATACAGGGTGTTTCAGAAAAGCTGGTCGTGCTCCAAATTTCTTATTTTAAATAGAATACCCTGTATATTATTAGATATTCGGATACTTCGTAAAATTCTGAGCAGATTTCATGTGATATACCCTATATCTAAGTTCAACTGTTTTCGAAATATTGACAGTTGAAAATTGACTTTTTTGCAACTTTGACAGGCTGTAAATCCTAAACGGTTAATTTTAGAGCAAAACCGATCTTACATTTTTGTCTTAGAATTCTATGGACCATTAGTTGACACCAGTATTTGACATCAACTTTGAATTTAATCCATGATTGGAAATTCCAATTAAATTTAATCAAGTCAAATGATAACTTGTGAAAATCTTAGAAAAAAATGTAAGATCGGTTTTGCTGAAAAGTACTCCGTTTAGGTTTTACAGCCTGTCAAATTTGCAAAAAAGTCAATTTTCAACTGTCAATATTTCCAAAACAGTTGAACCTAGGTATAGGGTATATCACATAAAATCTGCTCAGAATTTGACGTAGAATCCGAATATTGAATAATATATAGGGTATTCAATTTAAAATAAGAAAGTAAGAGCACTACCAGCTTTTTTGAAACACTCTGTATATGCAAAAGTGAGTTTTTCAAAAAAATTTATTTCAACCATAAATTTTTTATTTGGGACACTTTTTTCTAAAATGTCAAATAAAAAAGATAGAGGGGGGTGACATTTATAACCAATAACCCTGTACTTCACAAGTGATTAGGAAAAAAATAGGGTTCCGCAACTTCTACAAAATAATTCAATATGATACTCACCTACAGATGAAGCTATCAGGTGGTACAGGGATACCTTGAACTCTCCAACTATCTCCTGTGCGATCATGAAAGACGCAAAATTTTATTGTTCCTTCAATTCCCAATTCTTCCTCAAGAGCATAAAGGTGCTCCTTCCAGGAACATCTTTCATTTAATATTATAATTTCACCAGATTCATGATTTTGTTTCCTATCTTCAAGAGTTTTTCTGACTATTTCTCTTGCTGGCCACCAAACATTGTAACCCTAAGTAAATAAAAATGTATGAAAACCCAAATACAATAATAGTTTTCACGCATGCTGCCTCATTGAAAAAATACCAAATAACTTTTTAGGTGTTGCAGGTGTTTGAAGGGCTTAGGTAGGTTTTAGTAGAATGCTGGGTTAGAATTTTTATTAATAGACCGTGAGATAGGGACTGTTTAGTGGAATCATTTTTTTCTTGTCTGGCGTTTTGAGGGCTTAATGTGGCTAGTTAGCTGATGAGAATATGGGTGATATTAATGCCTGCTCCCTGTTCGAAAAATTTGGAGAAAGAAAAAATCATGCATATGAAGCATTTTTTTTTAATGATCTTAAATTGTGTGGCTTCTGAATAAAAGATTGATATTGAAAAATAATTTACTCATAAGAAATTCCAGAAGCTTTTCAAGGCTGAAAAAATGGGGATGGGTGTCGACTTGCAAGAGAAAAATATCGAACCTACTACCGCATTTACTTTCCATCTGGCAATCAAGAGAACATAAGGTTTCGTTGTTAAAATAATGCTGGAAAATCGTCAGACAGTATTCTGTAGGCAGTATAGGGGAGGCAGGCATTAAAACCACCTATATTCTCATCAGCTAACTAGCCACATCCAGCCCTCAAACTGCCAGACAAAAAAAAAATGACTCCACTAAACAGGGTCTATAAGGATTGTACTCGAGATTGTTTGTGCTAAGAAACTTATTGCAAATACTACCTGAAATACTAGTAGTAGAGAACACGCAACTTGGTAACTAAAATTAAGCATTCAAAGTTGGGTAATGAAAATTGTTCTTTTCCTTTAGGATAATTTCAAGTTGTTGAACCAATCTATTTTGCAACGAAGTGCATCAGTTTATAAAGATTCCTGTTACTTATGCATGTTAAGTTTTACAATAATTTTTTTTTAACCAAAATTGAATTTTCTAGTGTACCTCACTAAGAAGCAGCTATGCAAGCTTACTAGCTGCTGAGTAAGTTGAATACCGAAAGCAGTGCCGGTTCAGTTTGGCCCACAGTGTGTGTAGAGAGATGAAACAATATTACTAAAAGAAAAATATTTCTGAAAGACACCAACTTTATGCAGTTTTTTGGGATATTTCACTTAGAAATCGCTGACAGGCTGCATCAAAGGCCTAATTACCGGTTTTTACTTCAAAATTAGGAATTAACCTAAACGAAAAATCAAGATGGTAAACCTTCATAGTTTGATGCTGTCGTTCGAGCTGTCGTTCTGAGTTGTACATACCTCAAATTAAATTAAAGGAGGAGGCATTTCTCTTCTGGCACATGGATCTTCGACAGATTTTTCTGAAATTTGAATATGCTGTTGTTTTTTAAACTCTGATTAAAAGCTATCATTGGCCAAACCTCGTGCGGTTAATAGTTCAGCCTCCAGAGGGTGCCAATGTTTCATATAACATGGTGTAATTGGGTAACTTTCTCTCACAAAAATAAGGATTTAAGTGTCTGAAAAATCACTTTTAATAATATTTGGTCATTACTTTTGCGATATTCATACAAAACATCCTACTTGTTTATAACTCAGTTCATAATAATCCTGAATTCTGAATTATTTATATTTTATAACTTATAATTTACACCAAGTTATATGAAACTTTAGCGTCCTCTGGAGGCTAAACTCTCAACCGCACAAGGTTCGTCCAATGATGGCTTTTAATCAGAGCCTTAAAAACTATAGCATATCCAAATTTTAGAAAAATCTGTCGGAGATCCATTTGCCATAAGAGAAGTGCCTTCTCTTTTATCTCTCTTTTATTAAGATCGTTCTAGTTCGTACTCATTCGTTATCGTTCAGGTATACATGCATATTATTGGATTGTAAAATTTCCAAAGATATATCTGATAAAATAAGAAACACATTTGAGAAACAGTGGTGCAAATCTGTTCAATTCTCCACAGTTTCACAATTATTCCCAAAGCTTTGAAAGCCTCTGAATATTCAATAGAGTCGACGAAGATTTCGGTTTCTAAGGCTCCTGATTTGAAGCTTTTGAAACTCTATTCCAAAGATCTCACTTTGAAAGTGTCTTGAGAATCATTACTCGAAACTCTAAATAGGCTGTAAAGACAGAACACTGAGGGCTTTCGAGAGTTTGGGGGATCTGAATAAAATCAAATAATAATTTTAACTAACAGGTTTGTAGAGAATCTAATTGGCTTTAATTAGAGGTAATAACTGTTTCAGTGTCATTTTTGGAAAATTTTCAATGTTTGATAAATACAATATTTAAGCTAGTACTATGTACTAGGAAGTGATGAAGTTAGTTTTTAATAGGTAATCAATAGATAATTTACTAATAGTCTTCTAACATGGCGTTAAAATGCCTAAAAATAAACGAAAAACTAATGAAATGTTTTTGGAAGACGGAAAAGTCAACCCGAATCTACGCAACAAACCTTATAGAGAACAGCATTACAGACGTTCCAAAGCCAGAAAAATGTTGTAATAAGATGAATGGAGAAAATGTTTTAAACACTATAAAAGGTAAAGGTACGGCAAGGGCCACTTGCCGCAATTAAACTTCAAAATTACTTTGAAAATACCCAAATTAACAATATTTTCCTTTTTATGGGGAGAATGTTGGAAACATTTTTGATCGTTTGCAGACAAAAGAAGAGAATTATCAAACATGTGTGAAGAAGTCTTATGATGACTGTAAATTAAATTGGGGGATACTTTTTTTTCTACATTTAGTGACCTTAGTTGAAATGTAAACTGCAGAGTAATAGAGCGCTGTCCTGATCCTTTCATTCAACTGTTTGCACTATCTTCAACCGAGCATTTCTTTAAGAGGCCTAACAAAAACATTGTAAACTCTAGTGCATGGAGTATCCAAGGACTAAAAATGTCAGCCAAGAATATTATCCCTAAGATTCATCAATAAGTATTGTAGAAATAAACCTGATATATTTGTAGAATACTTCAATAACTACCAAAACGTTTTCCATAAGTTAATAAAGCAAGCCAAACATAATCACTATCAAAGTAAACTTGTGCTCCAAAAATTGAGTTATAAGTATTCCAAAGTAAAAACAAACATTGACCCAAAATTACTAAATAATTTTTACTGTAGTAGGTATAGGTGATAATATAACACAAACTCATTCTTCTGATAATAACCTCTTGAGGTATCTGGATGATATTGCGTACGATTAAACAACAATCTCAGCTTCAGCTAAGAAACTAACATCAACTTAGGTGAGAGAAGTGCTTATTTGTAAGCAGCTATTATGTCAGTATTGATCTCAAAAAATGAAAATTAAAGGGAGTGTGAACCAAAGTTTTAGTGCAAACAAATCTAAAGTATTTTATCTGCATCTTGCTATGATGAACCGTTTTCGAGTTAGGGCGGTTTAAAGTGACGAACGCCTAGTCTGTGACGTCACAATGGCTTCGGAGGCACAGTATTAACACGTAAAATTTTCCAAAACAAAAGTCAACGATCTCACTTATAGTGAATTGTAACCACTCAAGTTTAGGGCATGGTTCACTGACGACTGAACAAACAGAAAGCTGCGATTTCGGCGGTTAGCCGGTGTGACATCACAAGTTCCCGCATAATGGGATCTTTCAATAAAATTTAAATTCGTAATTTAAGTATTATACCAAAAAAAAAAATTGTCTACTGTGTTGAATAAGTTTTTTACAGGCACTTAAAACTAGCCAAATTCAAAATGATTTAAAACGCGCCATGTGATGACGTCATCTGAATAATTTCCATTTGGTCCATGTCTGGGAGCAGCTGACCAGCTCGGCTGCGTTACCGTCTAGTAAAAGACTCGAATGCGCTGTTGTTGGTTGTGACTAAATGTAATGCGACATAAAAAAAAAAAAAAAAATAATATAAAAGATAGATTTAAATTGTGTTTAAGCATAATTAAAAAAAAAAAAAATTATAAAATTTTGAATCCATAACTAATTAATTTAACTATTTTTCATGGGATTTTGCCAAAATTTTAGAAATAAATCTATTACAAATTTTCAATGTTGACAATTAGTGGCAACACAGTCAAAATGCAAGCGGCGACGTCATAGGGATAAATTCTTAGTTTTTATTTGGAGGTATTTCTTTTTTTTTCTATTTTGTCAAGAAGAACTGTGAATTTTGTAAAAATACAGAAAATTCTGTTTTTAGTTGATTTATCTACAAGCGTTTTGTTATGACGTTTTTACATAACCATTTTTCTTTATGGTTATGAGTCTATAACACAACTAATTTTGGTGATTTGACAAATGTCAAAGGTAAACCTGTAAAGGTAAAATGAAGGTAGACAACTATTAATGAACGAAAATAATTGGAAAAATATTCTTATTTTTCGCTTTGTAGATAAAACGTTGTACATCACATGTGCGTTTAAACATGACTACAAAACTCGTGTGATTAGAACGACTCGGTCTACGACCTCGTCGTTCTAATCCTTCACACTCGTTATTGTAATCATGCTCATAAACGCACTTGTCAATAACTATTATCCAACTATGGCAATTTCAAAAATTAGTGAAAGAACCCATTTATCTTCATAAGAGATTTTCTCAGAAACTATTTTGAATATATGACCGCGGTTTTCACGAGAGATCTTAGATTTTTTTCTTGATTTGACTAGCTTAGGTTGTTTTTTCGGATCACACACCCTTTAGGCGACCTGATGTGTGAATAGGCAGATGAAATAATATGCGACAGATGACTGGCTAATGGGAATTTTTTTTTCTGGTTCCTAACGATATCCAATTTTATTCTGTCAATTGCCACAAGAACGAATATGCATCAGCAACCAAGTATTCTTTTAAAAGATAGCGCCTTCCAATCCTATTAAGTACGTGCAAACCCTATAGCTTTGGTTTTTCACTATTAGATTGTATATATTAATGTGTTGAAATGGCTTGAACGAGGGATTGATCTCACAAACCGTAATATGTACAGGGTGAGTCACCATATTTTGCCACCCACCTGCAGCCGCGATTACAGCTGATAGGTGAA